GCAGCAGCAAGAGGATTGCCTGAGCTCAGAGGTTCAAGACCAGCCTGGGCAACTTGGTGAGACCTCGTCTCTACAATAAAACAAAAAATAAGCCGAGTGTGGTGGTACGAGCCTGTGGTTCCAGCTACTTGGAAGGCTGAGGCAGCCATGAGTGTGCCACTGCACTCCAGCCTGGGTGACAGAGTGAGACTCCAACTCAAAGGAAAAAAAAAAAGAAATCTGCTCTTTTACCCCTATTTCTTTTAAAAACTGAAAAATTTTTTTAATTTTGAGTTATAATACAATAAATACTAATGAATGAATAAACTACAATGTTTGAGAACTAACATAACCGGACTCTCACTCCTTGAGGCCAGGTGGGCCTCATTCCCTCCCTACGCACATCCCGCATCTCTGCACTGCCATCACACCCAGATATGGAGGACGCACACAGCCAATCTGTATTAAATTGCATCAGAGGAGCCTCAAATAAGCTGGATATACACTTCGCTGGTAAGTGAAAAAGACTTTGTTAAAATGGCACAAACAGACCACAGAAGGTAAGAGTGTCATCATTCATTCAGGAGACACCTGAATGAAACAGGTGCCTGGGGATAGGGGGGTAGAAGTGAGAAAGACAGCTGCCCACCCCCATAGGTAATTGGGAAGACAAAGACATAACTCCCTGAAACCCAAAGGAAGCATGGAAAAGTCATGTGTGAGTGTTATCAGAAGCAGCAGAGGCTGGTTTCTTGGTGAACTCCAAGGACAGGACAGAGAGGAGAAAAGTCAGGAAGGCAGAGGGGCCTCAACATGAACAAGGACAGGGCAGGCCAGGCTGAAGGGCAAGACTGCAGCTGGGGGTGTTGGGTGGGGCATGGCCCACAGCCAGAAGAGGGTCTGTGGTGGGGCAGGACGGAGGGCAGGGGCTGACGCTGAGACAGGTGGCAGGATGGAGGACAGCGCCAGAGGTGAAGCACTTGCAGAAGATCCCAGAGGGGAGACCAGGCAGGGATGTGGCGCGGTGGGGAGGGGACGCAGTAGCTACAGAGGCAGTCACCGATGACAGACAGCAAAGGGAGGACCAGAAAAGGAGAGCAGCAGACTTGCTGGGTTACAACTAGGTAAAGTGCCCCCAACGTAGAGAGGATAGAAGAGCAAAAGGGACCCTGAGTTGGGCCAAATCTGTATTTGCTATCAGTTCCAAAGGTCGCGTCAGGCTGGAGAGAGGAGGAGATGCACAAAGTGAAGTTTCCTTCTACCAGCTATGCAGTCCCAGGCGCCAGAGCTGCTGAGATAAGGTGGCGCCCGAGACAGGTTTCTTATAACTGGTAGTCTTTATAGATAAGCTTTCTTAAATTCTGACAATCCAGTGGGTCACATGGATCCTTTCTCCAAAAAAAATCCACACGCATATAAAAAAGTCTGTTTAACTTCAGGACTCACAATTCCCTGAAATCCATTCAAATGTCCTAGGGTTTGGGTACCAATTAAAAACATAAGCAGCGGGCTAGGCACAGTGGCTCATGCCTTTAATCCCAGCATTCTGGGAGGCTGAGGCAGAAGGATCACTTGAGCCTATGAATTTGAGACCAGTCTGGGCAACCTAGCAAGACCGCATCTCTACAAAAAATAAAAAAATTAGCCAAGAGAATTGCTTGAGACCAGAAGGTCAAGGCTGTGGTGAACCTTGACTGCACCACTGCACTCTAGCCTAGGCAAGAGTAAGACCATGACACACACACACACACAAACAGTGAAACTTTAAAGCTTCTGCAACAAAAGAAAAACTAAATATGCCGGGCTTGGTGGCTTAGCCTGTAATCCCGCGCCTTTGGGAGGCTGAGGTGAATGGATTGCCTGAGCCCGTGGGTTCGAGACCCGCCTGGGCAGCAAGACCTCATCTCTACGATAAATCAAAAAATCAGCCGGGCGTGGTAGCCCATGCCTGTAATTCCGGCTACTTGCAAGGCTGAGGTGGAAGGATCGCTGGAGCCCAGCAGGTAGAGGCTGC